CACCCAGTGTCTCTCTGGAGCGGCTCATCCTTAGGCCCGTTTGGCTCCGGGGAGGCGCTGCACCCTCTGCGTCTGGGGCCGCGACACCCGCGGGCACGGGAGGTGGCCAGGTTACATCTGCCCCCTCCTTTCCTGCTCCCGGCCGGGGACGCCTTCCCAGCGGCGCCGCGTTCAGCGCCAGGTACACACGAGGTCGGGGGAGAGGACAGCCTCCAGCGAGGGTGAGGGGTCCTGACTCCTGAGCCCGCGCCGCTCGGCAGCCGCGCGTCACTAGGACAGCCCGCCCCCGGGACGTGGGGAGACCGGCCTGCTCAGAACCGGGGTGTCAGTGCGTGACTGCCGCCCGCACGCAGGGAGCAGCTGGTGGGCTGCCCGGGCGTCGCACAGTGTCACGCAGGGTCACGCAGCCTCACGCAGCGTCCTTCAGCCTCACGCAGGCTCACGCAGCCTCACGCAGCGTCCTTCAGCCTCACGCAGGCTCACGCAGGGTCACGCAGCCCCTCACAGCCCCACGCAGCGTCGCGCGGCGTCGTGCGGCCGCCGGTCCCTGACGCGCTCTGAGGCTCATGCCGGGGGAGAGACGAGGCCGGGCCCTGCGGGAGGCGGAGGACCTGTGCAGGTTGCGCTGTCTCGCTGTGGTTCTCCTGCTCCGCGCGCCTCTTCCCCAGAGAGCCCGCGCCAGAGTCGTGGCTTCCCGCTGGACCGAGGGCATCAGACCGCCTCACAGATGGTGAGTGGACGCTCGGCCAGGGGGGCCTTGTCTGTGGTGTGTGGGAGCCACGTCAGCGCGGGCGCCTGAAAGGGTCAGTGGCCGGTCAGTCCCTTCCGGGCTCCAGCCGCTGTGTTTGCGGTAGGACCGGCCGCGCGACGTCTCCAGCCTGAGGGGACAGTCTCTCCCGCTCCGCCTGCGTCAGGGCCGGGGTCGGGTCAGGCCCAGGATCAGGGCTGGGGCGGGGGTAAGGGCCGGGATCGGGGGTGGGGTCAGGTCAGGCCCAGGGCCAGGGCCAGGGTCAGGGCTCGTGGCGCTGTCTCCTCTGCGCTGCGCAGCCCGCCTGTCTGCGGGGGCGTCTGCTGCTGCTTCAGCCTGAGCCCCCACCCGTGGCCTTTCCCTCATTTTCTGTCCCTGGAGTGTGCGTCTCTGAATAAATCTTTCACTCAAAAAAAAAAAAAAAAAAAAAAAAAAAAAAAAACGTAAACGTAAAGGGTAAGTAGTAGACGGACGGAGAGAGTAGAGACGTACGTCGTTCGTTCGTTCGTTAGTAGTACGTACGTACGTACGGAACGGAACGAACGACGTAC